GGCCGCGGGCCCCTTCCCGACCGGCCCCCGCAGCTGTCTGACAACCTGTCGACGCCGGTTTACAGCTGTCGGACACTGGAGTGCGCCTTTTCGCAGCCGAGGTGTATCTACTCTCTCACCAAAACACCTCGGCGCCTGCTCTTCCACCGCTGGGGTGGCAAAGACGGGGCCCGGCGGAGAGCGGTGACAGCCGGCGGGGATCGGCCTCTCCTCCGAGGTCGGTGCTGCCTTTACCTCCCCGGGACATCTTTGGCAGAAGTGCCACTCAACCGGCGTGGCGTCCCCTGGCCCCCACTAGGTATTAACAGGTCACCTGGCAGTGACCGGCCTCTCTGCCCTTGGAGAAGCAGGAAGCGGCCGAGCGCTGCAGGCTTTTCCAGTTGTGAAAACTTTGCAAAAGGGCAACCCAGCAGGGAAGCCACTGGCTTGGGGGAAGCTGATGGCCGGTTCTTATGAGTGAGCGGACCTTTTCTTTGCGAAGAAAACACCCTTTCGGCGGGAGGGAAACAGTCTGCCCCCACCCCGGAGCTGGGAGAAGCCAGCATGGCCTGGACGCCCCTCGTGTGTCCAGGAGGTGTGAAAACGCAGGAAGTAAACTTGTGCGGGGCCCGCCGGCCCGAGGCGGCGCCGCAACCGGGCCCGGGACCAGGAGTCTTCTCCCTCCCTCTCCGTTTCTATCTTCCGCCTCCGGAAGAGAGAGGGGACGCAGCCAGACAAGACGCGCTCAGGGATGGCTCCGGGTCGCCTGGGACCTGATGGGGCTCGGGCGCAGACCGGGTGCACTGTCCTCCTTGCCTCCTTGGACAGCTTGGATAGGCCGCTTCTGAGCTGCACTCGCTGGCTCGATCCTGGAGGCCCGGTGGGGAACGCGCCCAGCGTACCCGCCTGAGCTCCCTTGGCCACTTTGCGCCCCATCTCCTAAGCGGCAGCCCGGGCCAGAAGAGTACCCCCTGCTGCGGCCGTTCAAGAACGCGGACCCTGTTGGCATCTCATCCAGGGACTTGGGTGTTGGCCTCGGTTTGGACCCATTTGGGGCAACAGAATGGAGTACAGGCACCCAGAATGCTGTGCCATGGACTCCCGCGGCTTCAGGAAGACTCCCATTTCCCAATTTTGGGGCCTGAGGACAGACACAGAGCCACTGCCTATAATTAGCAAGGAGAACGCCCATAATAGTCATTACTAATTACCAGCTGTGTGATCAGGCTTTATTTTCTGTGCTCAAAGTCAGCTCTTCTCCCTGTTCATGCTGCCCCTCCCCTCCCCACCTGCCTCTGCTCACTCCAGAAAGCCCCTACAACCGCCTGGGCACCTTTCCCACCTAGACAGCTTCTGGTGGGGACGGGGCGGGGGCGACTGCTGCTCGGGGGAGTCCCCAACTGCAGCTTCCTCCGGCTCCCCAGCCCACCACCCCACACTCCCCAGCCCCCTCTCCTCTCCTCTCCCCAACACCCAAAGCAAACTAATGGGCCAGCCCCACCACTGTCCTGTTTAGCAAACTCCAGTGTCACATTTCAGGGTGGCAGGTAAATACAGGTGAGATAAGCCCTCTTGTGTGACCTGGAGAGCCAGGTGGAATGTAAGCCCAGAGAAGCCGCTCAGGGTCAAGACTCAGGCACATGGATGAATCACCTTCCCACAGCCTGCCAGCAGCAGCCCACCATCACTCCCGCCACAGCCCGCCACGTCCTGTCTGTATCAGCTCCATTCTGGTCATGAAATGATCGTAGGTTCCTGAAAACACCAGGGAGGCAAGCAGAAGAGCCCACTGGTTTTTGGACCCGAGGAAAGGCAGTGATGGGGGAACTGGCACTAGGAAGGCCAATCAACTTGCCCCCCACCCACCCTGGAAAGGTCCCTGAGGGCAACTGTGGCTGTTCTCTGCCTGGGCCCAGGGGCTGGAATCCTAGTGGAGCCTGGCAACCACCCCTCCCCCACCTCTACCCTTCTCTCTCCTTGGATTTTTACCTTAAAACGTGCACGTGGAAGACTAGGAAGCAATGAAGACCCAAAAAGGAAGAAAA